TTGGGTAGTGAACTGTGGGAGGATAATTTTGGTTCTTTGCTTGGCCTTGTTAAAGATTTTATTTTGGATGTTTGGGAGCTAAGAAAGGTTAGGTTATACGGCGATAGTCCCTGTGTACAACAAACCCAGTCTCAGATTGCGTCTGGGGAGCTGCAGGGTGTCGCTGGTGGAAGGGGTGAGTTGAGGTGAGACAGGAACCTCATGTTCATATGGTGTATGTTCGTGTGTTAACGGTTCCGCCCATTGCTCTTGGTGCGTGGTCTATGGCCCTAGTGCTATGGCAGCCACCTGAGTATTATTATTATTGTAATGTGTATATAATTATATGTCGTCATGCGTGGGTGGATCAAAAGCGCCGCCACGCACTATATCGGGGCGAAATACCACCAGTGGAGAGCAATGACAACAGCCAAGTGTGAGTAAGATTTGGGTAGTCGTTGAATGTGTCTACCGATTTCTGCCTCTACAGCAGTGCAAAATGGATACTTACCGAATCCTTTTAACTGTACTGTGGGGAAACTCCTCCACGGTAGTTAATAAGGATTCGGTAAGTATCCATTTTGCACTGCTGTAGAGGTGTATCGGCAGCACAAAAGTAGAGAAGACCAATAATTAACGACTTTGCTGCTAAGTGAAGACAATTATCCAGTAACAACAGGAAATGCACAAAATTTGAATCACTTATTCGTAGATGACAAATTGATTTCAAAAACCACTCCACACTTGTTTATAACTAGGTAGCTATGGTGTATTGTGAAGGACTGCGTGGGACAGTACTAAGTAGGAACAGCACTGCTGGCTAGCTGGTGCGGACCGTATCCCATCATCCGTCGAATTAGCCCGGTAACCTACCAGGTGAACATGACAGACCGCGCAAGAAAAAGAGGGTATTTCACGTAAATATGCTCCGACAGTGGCATTCACCGTGTGCGGTGTCACTTTTCGTCGAGGGAGCTGTCGAGGAACCGGACGGTGAGATCGATGAGGACGTAATCCTCTGGGACCCAGGAAAAGAGTCTAACGAAGCCCCCACGATCAACAGTCAGTTGTCCTCGGAGGAGCGAGAGCAGCTGCACCAGTTGCTAGAAGAGTTCAGCGATGTCCTTCGCAACGAACCGGGAAGGACCCATGTTGCTGAGTACCACATACGAACAAAAGGGTCGCCCCCGATCCGATTACCCCCTTACCGCTTGTCCCATGCCTACCGCGATATCGTCGAGACGGAGCTCGAGCAGATGGAGCGAGATGGCATCATCGAGCGCTCCAGGAGCGAGTGGGCGTTCCCCATTGTTCTCGTTAAGAAGAAGGACGGCACCCTCCGAATGTGCGTGGATTACCGCCGTCTGAACGCAGTCGCAGAGGCCGACGCCTATCCCATGGCCCGTGTCGACGATTTGATCGACTCACTTGGAAAGGCCAAGTATGTTACGACGCTCGATCTCGCCCGGGGATATTGGCAAGTGCCAGTACACGAGGAATCGCGGCCCCGTACAGCATTTGCGACGCCCTATGGACTATTTGAGTTCAAGGTGATGCCTTTCGGCCTCCACGGAGCTCCGGCCACGTTCCAAAGAATGATGGACGACGTGTTGCGAGAATGTTCCGATTACGAAGCTACCTACCTGGACGACGTTGTTATCCACAGTACTACTTGGGAAAACCACACTCACCACATCCGAAGCGTTCTGTCGACACTCAGGAGCTGGCCTGACGGTAAAACCGAAGAAGTGTCAACTAGCAATGAAAACTTGCACTTACTTCGGCCATGTCGTTGGGAATGGAGAAGTCCGGCCAGAAGAAGGGAAAGTGAAAGCAGTCGTGAACTATCCTACACCCACGACAAAGAAGCAAGTACGCGCCTTTCTAGGACTAACCGGGTACTATATACCGGAAATTCATCACCGCATACGCAGATCTCGCCGCCCCTCTGACCGACCTAACCAAAAAAGAATCGCCGAATTGCGTCCGTTGGACTAGCGAATGTGAACGGGCATTACAAGCTCTAAAACAGGAACTGTGCTCCCAACCAGTACTCAGGAGCCCCGACTTCGACCGCGAATTCCTATTGCAGACGGACGCTTCTGATCGAGGCGTAGGGGCCGTCCTGATCCAGAATAGCGACGACGGACTAGAACACCCGGTGGCTTACTACAGCCGGAAACTTCTACCGAGGGAAGCGCGTTATTCCACCGTGGAAAAGGAGTGCCTGGCCATAAAACTCGCCACTCATGCATTTCGGGTTTATTTGCTAGGACGGAAATTCACGATTCAGACAGACCACCGCGCATTGGAATGGCTCAACCGACTCAAGGACAACAACGCCAGGCTCACGCGATGGAGCTTGGCCCTACAACCTTACAATTTCACCATTCGGTACCGCGCGAGGAGCCATCAACGGAAATGTAGATGCCCTGTCTCGCTCATTTCCAACCGATCCTACAACATCATCCCTGGAGAAGGAGGGGGGAATGTGAAGGACTGCGTGGGACAGTACTAAGTAGGAACAGCAGTAACACAGTCCTTCACCACTCTTCGTCCCTTTAGTAGACTAGAGTGTTGTAATTCTCACCCCTTGTAGTTCCTTTAGCACTCCTTCCTACTCCCACTCTATTGTACCTCACTGAAAGGGCCACATATGCTATGCCCACTTAACGTCAATCACATCTTCCTCTAGACCATATCAGCACCTACTCCTCACCTGCTGTCCTGGACCCACTTTTCCTCTCCCCACCTCCCACCTTTCCTGTTTCCTTCACTCACCTTTCCGTTTGGTTCTTTTGTATAAAAGAGCCAGCTCCTCAGAATAGAGAGAGAGAACTCCCGAGATATATTTTCGCTACCTACCCCGAGAACCCTCTTCGCCGCTACGGCCGCGCTCTACCACATGTATATAGGATGGACATGGTATCTACTAGTGAAAATGTTAAACATTGGCGAGCGGGAGTTGCGTCGGGGCTAAGGCAACAACTAATACTCACCCAACTCTTTGTGTCTAGTTCTTTGCTCTGTGAAATAATGTCTCATGCATTCATGAATAACGAGAAGGGATGTAGGGATTGGGTTGTATACTAGAAGAATGTTGAACATTGTTGGCGAGCGGAAGCGACCCAACTTGGGATTTGCCCGCGATGTTCGGGCTGCATAACGTGCCGTCAGCGCACAGCTTTCCTTTCGTGAAGCAAGACAGATTTACCTGTCGCCGTTACATGCGTACTGTACATTGGCAGAACGGTGATCAGGTGAGCAGAACGACTTTCAGCTTGTCATGGTCCACCAGGCAGCTGGCATGTAGCAGTATCTGCACGGTGAGCAGGTGAGCAGAACGGTACCCACCTTACGCTTTCAACTGGTCTGTCAGTTTCATGGTACACCGGGCAGCTGGCATGAAGGCAGCGTTCGATGGGGCCGGCTGGCCAACCACGCGGCGTGTGTAATAATACGCAAAGAAGCCGCGCATGCGCACTTACACGACGTACACAAAATCGGCCCGTTGCGACGGCTCGCTCCCGCTCGCCAATTATAGTAAAGTAGATAATTATAGCTTAATTATCTCCTTCGATTAGTGTATTATACATAACTCAAAGACCATATAACAACTTATTGTATTTTGCGTGGGCGAATCAAAGGCGCCGCCAGTACTATATTCATCATACAGAACGGTTTTTGAATGAACTGTACTATATCGCGCAGAACTGTACTATATAACACGAACTGTGCTATATCCGCGGACTAGCGGCGGGAACGACGCCCTCGGCGGCCTTTCGTAGACGGAGTTCGACTCAGACGGTGACACAAACAGCTGCTGGAAGGGCGCTCCGCGAGCTTCTAGTCCTTCTGAACTTGCAAAAAAAAAATTTCCCTGGCCGCCGCGTTTTGAACTATATCCGCGGACTAGCGTACGCTTTGCGGGAATGACGCCCTCGGCGGCCTTTCGTAGACGGAGTTCGACTCAGACGGTGACACAAACCGCGAGCTTCTCGTCCTCTCTTCCGTTCTTAACGCCGGTTTTCCTGGTCGCCGCCTTTTGAATCGCCCACGCATACAATAAATTACTTAATGTACGGAAGCACGTGCTGTGCGCGTGATAATGGTACTCGGAACGTGGTCTCAATAGATCATACAGCAACTCGGCTGCGCCTCGTGCTGTATGACTATCTCGACCACGCCCCTCTTACCATTATTACGCGCACAGCACTGACTTCCGTACATTAACTATTACATAGAGTAAGATAATAGATTGCCATTACCCGAAGAGTATAGGCATAGTTTGTTTATTGTGAACAACAACAAACACCAGCATTACACAGGCGCACTGCAAGTAGCTAGTTGGTGAAAAAAAGTGGCTAGAAAAAGGGTGGTTTTATGCCCATGCAAGGATCTGTGGCAATAGCACAAAACCTGTTAACAGCATGTTGCATGCTCTCGTGTTATTTGCTTAATAGTCTGCAAGTGCAATCAAAATTATTTTAATGGAGTCTTTGGTATGCTATAGCTATAGTGAGTAATAATGGATTGTGTCCCCTTAGACTAGGCAAATCTAAAGCTTGCTAGAGCCCCACATGTTTTGAAAGGGAAGGCTTATGTGTAAGAAGAGTAACTACTTGTGGAAAACTTATACACTTTCTGTTTCCTCTTTTATGTATATACCATAGTGATAATAATAGCTGCACACTACACAAGTCTTCATGTGGCTTCAACTTTCACTGTCTGATAGGAAATAGAAATTTACCTGATAAGTTTGGCTGCGAAGGTTAGTTGCGAGCAGATGCTAATCATTTATCGCAGCCTAAGGTTCCTGACACCATCTTGGACTGTTAACCGGATTAGTAACGACGCAGCTAAATCCAACTAGCTCGCCTTGACATACACACAGAGAGACAAGTATGCCAGCCAGTGCTCGCAAATGCGTAATACGCATGCGCGTGCTGTTGCGCCGCATTACTAAAGCCATCGCGCAGCGCAGTTTCGTAGACACGGTCATCAGAGTCATGTTGAGCCCTACGCTAGTCCTCATTGGTTTAGTGCTGGGCTCAGCCTCGCTGCAGCTGCAGTCGGCATCCGCCTACCGATACCGCGGCCGCGTCAGGGCCCAGTCTTCAATATCACTGATCCCAAATGTGGAGCAGTATTTTCAGGTCAGCTATTAGCTACATTAGTCTAATGAATGATGTTAATCATGAGCAATGTTGTTTGGGTGTCTGCAGGAAGGACTGAAGAGTTTGCAGGGGAAGAGTGTATGTGAGCATCTCCAGACAGTCTTGCCTCGTTTGAGCTCAGGAGGGAAGATCCATTTCTCGGCATCGGGTCCACCTACTCCCGACAACAGTTTGCTCAACAATGCCGATTTCTGGGGTTCTGCGTCTCTCCAGCATTCACAACGTAAGAATCATCACGAGTCATCTGATTTGCGTATTGCCTGTGCGAAAATCGAAATTGGTATTTACACACAGCGGAACAACTGCCGACTGTGACTAGCTACAGGCGTGCACTTCTATGCATGTTTGGGAGGAGGCTAAGCTATAGGGAGGACATGAGCTGAGTATTGTTTATCAAACAGCTAATGGTGCTCACACATAGGCTGCTGTCTGCATATATAGCTAAGCCAAAACACGTGCCTTCTCAGTTACAAGAAGTTCATTCGCTGGAATTTAGCTGTTGTGTTTCTATTAGCTATCTACGTAGCTATGCCACTGTGTAGGCTATTATAACAAAGTTTTTCGAAATGTTAGACGTCGGTAGATTCAAATTGACCAATCAGATTGCGTAAAACGTGGATTCTAAATCGCATGTACGTGTTTCAACGGAAACGCCCGCCAAAAAATGGCGTCTTCCATGAGGGTGTGGCAAGCTTCCCCGCAAAGATACTCGCTCTGTCGCTGAGAGCTCGCGGCGGCGACCTCAATTGACAAGGTACTTCCATTCACGCGCAGTATAACCAAGGGCGTAGCTATGTGGTTACCTACGTTGCCCCTTTGAATGCCGAAAAGTGGGCGTGGTCTTAATTTCTACGTTCGCATGCGCACTTGTGACTCGCGCTGCGAGGGGAGAGATGAAACGCCTGTACTCTTTCGGCTTTTTACCTCAGACGGCCGGTGAGCAATGCCTATGTAACTGACATTCAGTCATGTTTCTCACATGAAAATTTCCGTTACCACCCGACACACCTGTGCGCAAGCGCACGTACACGCAAACCACGCGTAGTTACGCACATGCGCAATTCTGGCGGGAATCCTGGCTACGCCCTTGATAACCTATATTAACCATCGGCGCGCATGCGCAGCGAGGGTTACGTTGTCTGTCTGTGTGTGTGTGTGTGTGTCGACGCTTATTCTGGCACTACAGGCCACGAGGTGGCTAATGAGCGATACCAACGGCTTCAAAACTACGCGAACCTGGAAAGCGATTTTCCTGAAACGACTGCGTTCGAGAGATATGCCGTGAAAACGAGCCAAAAAGCCAATATGCATATTTATTTGCTGTTACCTCCTCCTGATCCGCTCGGTCTGTGCACCCTGGAGGCACTATATGTCACAACGCAGGGCGTGTATCGCCTCTCGCATGCTATCTAGTAGTGTAGTTAGCCCGCGTCAGACTGCGCGAGCTGGCAAGAGACCACGAGTAACTAAACCCAGCTCATCAATTAGTGGTACGGCGCATGCGTTTACTTACGCGTGCGCGTCACAGTGCGCCGAGGGTTTGCACTTCAGTGCTTTTCATTATTACGTGAATAGAGGGTGTATCCTAGTATTTTTTCAACAATGCTTATTTTGGTGGAGTGTAAGTATATCGTTTAGAGTAGAATGTGCCTTTCTTCCTTGTGCATGCTATAGAGGCACGCTACGCCAGTAGCTAATGCTACACAGTGTATGTACATGTCAAATTCCTTTTAGGGCCATCACTCCAGGGCGTTCTCAATGCACAGAACATGTTGGAGTATTGGAATACAGAGACAGATATTGGTATAAATCAGTATAGCAAACTATGGTGAGCGAGTTGTAATGATATGGGTATTTCCACAATACTCAGACACATGGCGACACAAAAACTGCGTTTGTACATTCAAGAAGGTAAGCCAAAATTATCATGAGTAATACAACTGGCAACTTTTAGACACAAACACATGTCATGGACGGTGAAGTGATTTTTGCATCAGTGCTGTGAAGGTAAGCAGTAAGCCTCACTACTGCTCTATCCCAGCTGAGCTCTCTAGCTCCCTACTAGTAAGCTCAGACCACATGTCTTCAGCTGTGCACTGGACCGCATGCATGTCCAGCCAACTTAGTGGCACTCTGTCTTATTCACAAGTTTAAGTTTTACCGACGTAACACTGTCCTGTGCGAATGCATATTGGCCTCCAAAGTCACTTTTCAACACTCTGATACTGAGTGGTGAGACTCAGCTCTTTGGAACAGACACTTTTGTGCTGTGAAGTATGACCCTGCCAGCAAAAAATTCTCAGTCCCTCCATCCTAGTATTGTCAGTCATCAAATTTAAGTCACATTTCGAGCTTCAAGACAACGCTAGACACTCTTCCTAGTACCACTTCCTCCGAACTTCTGAGCTCTAGAATCACAGCCTTCTCTTACGATCCACAAACCATGGAGCTTCCTTAGCACCACGGTCCCCTCACGTGTCCCTGATACCCAATGTGTAATGCTGACTAACGCTAAGTTCAGCTCCAAGCTGCGATTGGGTCCAGCCCATCTCTGAAAAGCTTGATGTTTTCTGGAATGTGGCAAATAGGGAAGACCAGTCTTGTGACAAACCTCAAATACAATGGACCGAAAAAGCTTTTCCATGTGACTGCAACAAGTGGTGGCAGTTCGACACTTAGCGCAAAGGACTTGGTACAGAAGATTGCTGGAAATTCATACGACCTCCCCAGTAAGCTCTCCTTGTTTACTCTAAAGCAAATAGTGGGAAATATCTACAACAACGGAAAGTATTTCATAGCATTGCAGGGTACCGTACCTGACGGTAAGGTGTATGTGTTCTTCCATAAAGGGATGGGTGGTCTAAAGGCGGGGGTAGCAGCAAGTGTTACAAACTTCAAGCTTTCAGAGGTTGTTAAAAGCACAACAGGAATTGATATCTCAAGCGTTCCCTTCTTTGGACAGCTAGTTGTGCCTTCCATGGGTTTATCCATCACTTCTGGAGAGATAAAGAGCCCTACACTACCTCACATCTTTGGCACTTCTCCACTTTCGACCTATGGAGACACTCTGCCTGCTGGTGTGACCGGTGCATTCACACTGAGCATAGGTAGTGTTAAGGATGTAATGGGGAGTTATGATGAGGGTGTATTGATAGTCAAACCGCCCGTCACTTCTCGTTTGAGCCTAACATCCTTGTCTACAGAGATACCAGGTCTGCGTGATGCTTTAGAATCCCTTCCATCTCAGCTGCAGTCAGTTCTATCGGCACAGCTTACATCTTTTGAGTACAATACCACATCAAAGGAGTTGAGTGTGAGTGCTTCCCTGAGAAGATTTACTGTAGTCCCTGGTTTCCTGTCGCTATCAAGTGTGAAGTCACCTATGTTGGTAGTATAGGGAAGGTTATATCAACAAAGGTGGTAGAGTTTGAAGGGATCTGGACAATTGGTAAATATTCCATCAAAACTGTGATTGTGTACGATGGTGTTTCGAAGAGATTGGACGTAGTAGTCAGGCCGCAGGACCTCTTACGTTGAACCTTGAAACTTTGATGGAAGACATTGCTGGAAACGATCTGGTCTTGCCGTCTACTATATCTTCCTTTGCATTCACCAGCATCAGAGGTACGGTAACACCGAGCGAAGCACTGCTCATATTCAATGTCGGATTGGATCAAAGGGAACAATAAGTGTCGTTGTGGAAAGAGAGGCTTCGGAGACTGAGTTAGCAGTTGCTGCTGATTTAGCTAGTTTTAAGCTGGCTGACCTTGTCGAGTCGGCTACGGGCATTGATATCTCCAGCGTGCCCCTAATCGGATCAATTGTCGTCCCAGAGTTAAAGTTTGCTGCGGCGTCAAACGAATCATGAGTTCATTCCTAGCTGAACTCGTTTCGAAAGCTCGTGCAATTGAAGCGTTCAAGAACGGCATACAGAAAGGTATTCTGGGCAGTTTGTAGTTGAAATATCCGCACAGCAATATTGCTGTAAATTTGTCCACGAGCGTCTATCATTCACCATTCCCTCCACTTCATCTCTCACTCTTGAAAACTTGCTTTCCCACATGCCAAAAGTTTAAAAGTGCTCTGCAAAAGCTTCCCCCAGAATGCTTACACTTCTCAGTGCAAAATCTCGTCCTTTAGTTACGATCCAAATTCAAAGCAGTTACAGTTCAGTGGATCTCTTGACAAAGAAGTAGTAATAGTGCCAGAGTTTGTTGCTCTTACGTCTGTCTCAGTTTCAGTCAGTGTGGTACTTGGTACAGAAAGGTATGTGGACACACTTGACATTACTGGCGATTGGATTCTTAACAAACTGCCTATTCGCACAACCATCGGTTATAGTCATGAGGAAAACAGTCTAGCATAGCTGGAGAGCTCGGTGGGCAAGTCAAAATCAAGGATTTATTCAGTACTCTCGGGTGAAACGCTACCCATTCCATCCACCATAGCATCATCAGTGACTCTCTCAAAACTGGAGGAAACAAGATTGGAGATACGACACTCATCTCCCTCACTGGAGGTGTGGGCTCAGCTACTATCCACATCATCTATCAGAAATCAAAGTCTGGTTCTGTAGTTGCGCTGGCAGTTGAGATATCAAAGTTTCGATTTGCATCACTCGTGTCTAGTGCAACAGGTTTGGACATATCAAACTTCCCTTTCTTTGGCACACTGGTCATCCCTGAAATAGGCTTTACCGTTTCTTCAGATAGTATCAACAATCGCGTTCTATCGACCATCTATGGTGAAAACTCTTTCCTTGCAAACTTTGGAGATCAAGTATCAAAGGGTGTGACAGCTACATTTAGTTTTAACATTGGAACAGCCAAAGGAGTGGTGGCTGATTTTGCCAATAAGGAACTACAAGTAACAGTTCCTGACTCAGTTGAACTCTCTCTAGCAAACTTGCTGAAAGCAATTCCAGGGGTCGATAGTGTTTTGGAGAAGCTTCCTTCAGCATTTCAAGACATTGCAAGCACAAGGCTACGAAAACTGTACTATGCTCCTAACGGGAAAAAACTTCAGTTTTCAGGTTCGCTGGAGTCACTCAGAATCATACCTGATCTACTCACCCTCACCAATATTGAGTTTGAGCTGTCGGGAGTAGTTGGAGACAAACCAGCTGTAGAGTCCGTCCATTTCAAAGGCACCTGGGAGTTACGCTCTCTCTCTCTTACAACTGACGTAACCTACGATAAAAACCGTATTGTCATTGACGC